CACGGCGGCGTGTTGGAGCCGGTGGGCACCGACGTTGTAGTGTGACGGGCGGCCTGACAGCGAGGCATGCTCGGGAGCAATGACCGCTGATGTGGCGGTGCCACCAGTTCTGCTTCCTCAAGTGGTGCGCGCTACAGCGGTTCACCTCTGCCATGTCCCTCGTCTGGTGGTGGTAGAGGTCAGTGGCGGGGGCAGGGGGTGCTGGCAGGGGCCAAGGCCCCCCCTATGCTCTCACAAATACATCTATATGTACTCCTAATCTTTCATTTTTCAGACAAAATTAGCTAGGTTTAGGTGATTTGGCCCCCTCTAACATTATATAACATGTTCTGGCCCTCTCTATATTTAGTTTCTGGCTCCGCCACTGGTAGAGGTGCAACAGAGGAGAGCCAAGGACGGGGCGGGTTGCGGGTGTCCTCCCTGTTGTGGAGCTCAGTTGGTTTTTGTGGAGGCGCATCAACAGAGGTCGACTTCTGCCTCCTCTTCAATGGTGGTTGTGTGACACGTGTCTTCGTGTCTGGTTGTACACTGCCACAAAGGCATTGCATGTGGGGGTGAAAAACCTTTTTGGTCCTGCCATGCCGACAATGGCGGCATCTATGAGCGTTGTTTCCTTTTTAAAGGTGTTGTCATGATACTTCAATGTCCTTCATGTTGCTCCAGGGGAAACCTGGATCCCTGGATCGGGTGGTGGCGTCACTCCGTTGTCGCCCTTTTCTTGGAAGTGCGGTCTTGGAGTACACGTCTAGTCGTATGCAGCTTCATCTCTTTGCGGTGACTCGCTTACGCTCGAGAGCTCCAGAGACTTTAAGTTGTGCCCTTTTTCTTTCTACCTGTTGTTTTGCTTGAAATAATAAGGGGTAGTGCAGTTGTTCTTCAACACCTTTGTATCTTATTTTTGAGTGCATGTGTTGTGGTTTTAGCTGGTTGTGGCTTTTTTGTTTTGGCCGCGTGTGGCATTGGTTTCTTTATGATATTTTGAGAATGCTCAAGGAGACTTTTGGACCTCTTTGATTTTTAATAAAATGGATGTGTGCATCAATGTGATGCAGAGGCCGGGGGTTATGCCTCCTTTTCTATAAAAAAATGTGTTGTGGTGTTGAGTTGTACTTATGGAGTTGTATAGTGATCGATGCTTTAGCTTCATATCTTGAAATTATATAGCTCCACGTGTGTGGAGTACACATGGAGTTGTATAGTGGCTGATGATTTATCTATAAAGCGGGTCACAAACTTTTTTGGGTATCATATCAATGTCATGGAATAACAGAGAAACACTACAATCAAACGGGTTGGCAATGACCGCGGCTTTAGAGCCTGAGAACATGTGCACAAAGACGACAAAAACTAATTCTTTCTACTACCTATTTCCCCTCGGCAATCGCCGTTTCACCTTTATCCCTCATGTTGCCGTGAGAAGACAAAAGCGACATCTTTCTTCCTGTCCCTCCTTTCTTCTTCCGCCTTCATTCTCGTCGACCGCCACTATGTTTTCAAGCGCTCTTTTTCAAAGTCTACATATTTATGTATGTTCTATTCAAAAACCATTCTTTCGATATCCTTTTCTTGAGGTTATTAGTATGCTAGCTAGTTTAATACAATTAATAATTAATTATCTGGAAGTAGTAGCTAGCAGAAGTAATATAGAGTCCACTCAATTAAGTTGCCAAGGAAATGGAGTGGAGAGGCGTGGGAATGTGCCCCCGCACGCGTTTCCGCAAGGAAGCCACCCAACCGACGTACCGCCGGCCGTATCCGCTCCGCTCCCCGTATAAATTGCCGCCGCCATCCGCAGCCAATCCGCCCGCAACCTCCCATGGATCGAATCCCCCCCAGCCCCCAAAACCCAGCGGAGCGAGCCACCGCCATGGACTCCTCCGACGACGAGTGGGTCGTCCTCTGCACCGACAACCCCGCCGACTCCTCGGACGACGACCGCGGCGTCCTCGCGCTCCCCGCCTCCACCTCCCCCCTCTCCCTCTCCTCCTCCGACGACGACGAGGACGACGACGACGGCCTGCGGTCGGCGGGGTCGGAGGAGGAGGACCCGTTCGAGGTGGACGAGGACGAGGACGCGTCGCCGGGGCAGCGGCTCACGCGGCCGCTCTCGGGCATGTTCCACCACACGCCCTCCGACTCGGTCGCCTACGCGGCCTTCGACCCCGTGCGCAGCGCCAAGCAGCTCATCCCGGACCCGGCCTTCTCCGCCTTCCCGGAGCGGGTCTCGGTGCTCGCCTCGTCGCGCGGCCTCGTCTGCCTCCGCGGCTGCGCCACCGGCTTCTACTACGTCGCCAACCCGCTCACCTTCCGCCGCGTGCGCCTCCCGTACCAGAACCGCGACCACCGCCTCGACGCCGACCCGGCCGTCGTCATCACCTTCGAGGACGACGAGGACGCCGCCGGCCAAGTCGGCCTCGGCGCCGGCTTCCGCCACTACCACGTCGTCGTCACCTACCAGGTCCACGACGGCGTCTGGGCCGTCGAGTCTTTCTCCACCCGCACCTGGGACTGGCGCGTCGGGGACGACATCTGCGCGCCCGAGACGGTCGTCGCGCAGTCCGGGGTCGGCGCGCGGGGACGCGCCTTCTTCCGCACCACCATCGGCCACATCCTCTGCTACACCCCGGAGACGGGCTGCGTCGACCTCATCCCCGCGCCCCAGGAGGTCGAGGACCGCAAGGACTGGGAGATCGGCGAGATGGAGGGCAACTTCAGCGTCGCCTGCGTCGACCAGGCCACCAAGGAGGTCGCCGTGCTCTACATGGTGCCCGGCGACGGCGCCGACCAGGTCACCTGGGCCTGGGCGGGCCAGTTCCACGCCAACAAGATGGGCTACCATGACAGGATGACCCTGCTCCGCTCCCAGGGCGCCGCTGAGGTGGTCATGTGGGATCCTCTCGAGCAGCTCGTGCTCGCCGTCGACTTCGATGGCAGGGTCACCCGCTCCATCGGCCCCCTCTCCGGCGGGATGTACTACTCGGATTTCATCCCCTACGTCAACTCATACGCCGACATCTACAGGTACTGCTCGGACCAAATTCTACTATGTTCTGCTGTATGAGTACACTTGCAGTTATTAGATCGGTTTAATTCAGAGATGCAGTTAGTATGTTTCTGAATTCTGATGTGAATGTCCACATCTGTAGAACTGTGCTCTGTGCATGACTAGTAGATCGATGGTGATATAATCATGCATATTGACTGGATATATACGCGTTGACTATTCCTGTAGTTTTCTGATGTGCATGTTCATTAGAATCCACTGGATCTTTACACGCCTAATTTTTCAAGTGTGGATATCTATTGTCTGCAGTGTTGTAGGTTTTTGATGTTGATACAATTTCTTTGGTAGACAAGCATAGAAATATGGATTACCATTCCTGAAACTTGAGCTTAACTCCCCTCTGTATGTGAAACACCTATGCATGACTAATTCTGCACAGCAACATGTCAGTTCTGTTCAATTCTGATTTCTGAATATTTCTGATGTGAAAGCATAACTAGATCAGTAGGACTCTGCATGACTAAATGCTGGTCGTGTATGATATCTGCATTCGTACTGTTTGGTGGTGTTGACTGTTTTCTGTAGTTACCTGAATTTTATGTTTATTTGGATATTATTGGATCTGTTAATCAGTGCCTACATGTTAGATTGGTTTGATTTTGAGATGCAGCGAGACTTTGATGTCTCTGCTTTCTTATGTGAAAGCATGTCTACATCAGTAGAACTTTGCATGACTGTTTTTGTAGATCGATGGTGGTATCAGCATGCATATTTTATTGACTAGATATATACGTGTTGACTGTTCGTCTGTTCCTTAGTTTTCTGATGTGCATGTTTATTTGGATCCACTGAACCTTTGCACGACTAATCTTTCAAGTTTGTATATACATTGTCAAGTTTTCTGAAAGTGTGAGTCCACAATATTGAGAAGTAATTAAGTTTCCTGTAGTTTTCTGATGTGAAAGTTTCCTGAAATTTGAGCTTTTCTGAACTAATTAAGAACTCAACTCTTTATATGAGTAGATATATGGTAATGTTTGCTGCTCAGCAACATGTCAGTTCTGTTTAATTTCTGATACCTTGATGTTTCTGGTGTGAAAGAATATCTGGATCAGTAGAACTCTGCATGACTAATTGCTGGTCGTTGGTGATATCTGCATGCTTACTGACTAGCAGTGTTGACTAAATAAGTGTTGATGTTTCTTTGATGTGCAAGTTTATTTGGATTCATTCGAACTTTGCACGACTAGCACTTAAGTTTGGATTTATATTATTGTCCTGTTGACAGTTGGACCATGGTCTTTAGGTTTCTTGTGTATCTGATGTGAAAGCATATCCGGACCCTTAGAATTTTCCATGAAAATTAGATCAATGGTGATATCAACAATTCCACATGCATATTGACTAGATATGTGTTTACTGTTCCTGTAATTTTCTCATCTGCAAGTTTCCTTGGATCCATAGAACCTCTGCACAGCTAATTTGTCATGTTTCTGATGCGAACCTGCATGTGAAATGATGCAAACCTAAAGTCAGTTGGATATGGCTAAATGGTGATTTTCAAGTTTGTTTGGATTCATTGCACCTTTGCATGACTAAATGTTAGGCTGATGCAATTTTGTTTGGTAAACAGCATGGAAATACGCACTAACTTACCTCAAAGTTGAGCTTGTCTTGACTCATGACTAGGTGTGTAATTAATAACTGAACGCGCTTTATGACTAGATGGTGATGCTAGACTAGACGTGTTGACGTATACTTGCTGTCAATTGGATCATGCTTCTTTATGTTTCATTGGTCAGCCTGTCCATTTGCTTGTGGAATGTGGGTCTTGACTCGAACTTGCTGTCAATTGGAATATTGGATCATGCTTCTTTAGGTTTGATTGGTTGGCCTGTCAATTTGCTTGTTGTCGTCGCTTTATATTAAAACTAGCTGATTAGGTTCCTCTTTTAACCTTAGTATGCTTTTTAGTTCTGTTTTGTCAAGCTGATATGGACAGTACTGTTTAGTTTTATACAATGGTTACCCAGAAAGTTGGCCTTTCTCTTTGCAAAAAATACATTGAACAGGGGCCTGTGCTGTTGAACATGTTTATGTAAGTTTGACAATGTTATTTTTTGTATTTTTCAGCGAGGAGGAGGTGGGTTCTGTGTTCAAGACGAATGATGAAGCCGTGACGTACAAAGTTCCACAGGCATCCGTCAAAGCAGAAATTGATTCCAACTAAAATCTGTAAGCATCAGCACAGCACAACCTGCAAACATCTGGTTCTTTGTTTTTCACTTGCACAATGCCATCATCCTCTGTTGCTCCATGCTGACCTGTGTCCTCTGTTGTATCAGCTTCCAAGAAAGGAAAGGATTTGCTGATGATGGAGAAGGAATAATGAAGCTTCCAGATCTGTGCAGCATAAGGGAGAGCTATGTTCTCCCTTATTGCTACCTAGTAGGTGTTTTTGTCTGCCATGTACATACATAGTTGGTTAGATGCAGACTGCCCCCGTCTGTCTGTCGTGAATCAAGTTCTTAATTGCTGAATTGGAAATTATCATCTGGTGCCTGCGTGATGCGCCATTTTAGCAAATTCTGGATTTTTTTCTTGTTCCATTGATTAGCATTGTTTCGCTCAGTTGCTTGCATAATTGCTGTGTTGAAGTTTGGCTTGAGTTTGTGCTGTCTTTATTGCATGGTCTGAAATTGTATCTTGTCGATGCATTGTTCTGGATCCATTCTGCTTTGCGCTCCCGGTTTTCTGGTTGCAATCTTGTACTCTAAGTGAAGCTTTGTTGAAGAATATCAGTATGTACAAGTCCAGCACACGGAGTATGTACAAGTTGTATGTTCTGTCTATACTGCAAATTTCAATATGCTCTCCTTTCCTGTAGTACATCGTGGCTGCAACTATAAAGCCTCGAAATTCAGAAATGCAATGCATATGCTAATTTTCCTTAATCGGCCATAACAATTGGCCTAAGCCATACATACCTATCAGAACCTACATACATACATGCACCCTGACTGAATCACCACTAGATACATGAACACTGAATTTTTGGGTTCTGCTCTGCTTTGATTTCCTCCATGCTGGCTTCGACCATGGCCTATCTGGCACATGGCATAAATTAGCACCTGCAAGCATACTTCCCATGGCTGTAAATAATACTCCTTCTGTAAACTATATAATATAAGACCTTTTAGATCATATTAGTTTACAGAGGTAGTACAGAGCAGCAGTAACATCTGCACTTACTGACTAATCAAACTCTCACCCTTGCCCTCGAGATTGTTCCCATACGCAGCGCAATCTGCGTATGCTGCTGCATGTACAACCTGCTTCTAATTCCTTCATGTTGGTATTCCAATGCCGACTGAAGAAGCATCGTGCCTCTGCTTGTTCCTTCTTGCTTGGTCTTGGTCCTAAACTAAATACTTGCAAGCGATTACTGAATTTTCGTGTCATCTGCATTCCTGTACTCCATTCTGACAGAACTGAAAATTCTGAAATGGGATGCAGATAGTAATTTCTATGACAATTCAGATGCAACACATGGTACGACTCAGCTAGTATTTCGTCCACCGCCACCATTAGCCTAGCTTATACATAAATAACAATGCTATTGTTAATACATACTTTCTAAACTACAAACGCCATAAGGGAAAGAAGAAAGGATTTTATCTCTGTGATAAGTTGTTGAATGACTTCTTAAGAAGAGCAGTACTAGTAAGGAAACCTTGAAAACTTCTCCCCAGCAATTTCACCAAGTGTATTTCCTGCTCATCGGCCAAACAACAAACATGGCAGCATGAAACTATTTTTTTTCCTAATAAAAAAAGGAGGGGTACTTCAATTGTCAGTTCCTTCATATGAAAAACACGACAAAATACCTTCAGTTTATTTCAGCAGAGCAACACCAGAAGTAGTTCAAAAACACGACAAAATACCTTCAGTTTTTTCAGTTCCTTCATATGAGAAGCACGACAAAAATACCTTCAGTTTATACTTTATACCCTGGTGGCATTGCATCACAAGTTAAGGGCCAGCCAGGTTAGTACGTGCATAGTACTCCTTCCGTCCCAAAATTAGTGACTCAAGGTACAAAGTTGAGTCATTAATTTTGGGACGGAGGGAGTATAGGGTAAGCTAGCGGAGGTTCGTTCCCCTACAGTTTTCAGTTTTTTTTTTCGAACCATGATAGTTATCAGTTTACAGTTTGCACATCCGCATGCACAAAAAAGGCAATGCATACACAAGAAGAAAAAAAGAGAAAGAACAACTCATTACAGATCCAGCCAGAACCCCTCCGGTGCTCGGTGCTCGAAGCAACGTAGGCCTCTGGCCTCCAAGCATCTATTGCCTGTCCGGTGGATCTCCGCCGAGCTTGCCTTCACCCTGCATCGGCCACCTGCTGAGCAAGATCCAACGTTGGTGAGTTCGTCCGGAAGGTGTTCGGGCTATTACGTACAAGCCCTTTTTTGTTTTACAATCAAATTTACATTGAGATTTGACATTCTGCACATCAAATTTGGATGTCAAATTGATTGATCCATTTTCTGTATCCAATTGCTGAGTGTTTGTGAATGATTAGACAATGAGTTTTTTTAATCTACTGGACAGTGAGTTCTTACGACATAATACATGTAACTATGGTATGTGAGCAATTGAGCTACAGACTTGTTTCAAGAATTCGTCCGGTTGACCAGTTAACTTGTCGATTAATCCCTACTTGTAAGGTCACCGAGTAGCCGATAAACTGATAAATCGTCCGATCAATTGATTAAATGGCCGATTAACTTGCCAATTAGCCTATTAATCCCCTACTCACCAGCCAACCAAGCGTTAACGATTGTCCGCCATCACCGCAAATGCGGTCAAAAATCTTACTCCTGTTGTGGAGGTGCTGGCACCTGAGAGATGACATGTTACGACACAACGGCAAAGAATCTATCTTGGGCTCTGTACAATTCCTAAAGAAATACGCCGAGGAATTAGTTACAGCGGCAATGGCTGATAATGTGCCCAGGATTGGAGAGGCCGATAATACATGCTGCATACGGGGACAAAGCATGACGCAGCTTTCCAAGCCGATTCAGGCGAATCCGCTGCTGGAGCAGCCGCCAGGGACAGCTTTCCAAGCCGATTCAGGCGATTCTGTCCTGAGATTTCTGTAGAAGCGCTAACTGAATTTCGGTGTGCTCTGCTTGGCATCCTGAAATTCAGAAATTGGGATGCATATAACCTCTCCTCGACGCCACCCAGAAATTCCCATGGAACTCAGAAGAACATGGAACATGGTTACAATTGAGTTCTTTCACCATAACCATTATCCAAGCCATCCAAGAGAAAAAGACTGCATACTTACTACATCTACCCTGGCTAACATGGAAGGAAATTCAGAAATGACAGTGCTCCCCGTTGATGAAACACATAACCACAGGTCGCTCCAGCCACAGCAGCTCTTCACCGTAAACCATCAGCACCTAGACACGATCCCAAGCCATCAAACGCCGGTGGATCCGAACCCGCCCTCGCCCCTGACGGTGGCGTCGAGGTCGTCCACCTCGGCGACGTCCGGCGTGGCGATCCTCTCGACGACCAGCTGCGCGACGCGGTCCCCGGGCTTCACGGCGAAGTCGGCGTCCGAGTGGTTGAAGAGGACGACGCCGACGGGGCCCCGGTAGTCGGCGTCCACCACGCCCGCGCCCACGTCGATCGAGTGCTTCCACGCCAGCCCCGACCGCGGCGCTGCAGCAGCAGGAATTCCGTCGAACACGTTAAGGGCACGGCAGATGCGAGGCGGCGGGGATCGTCAAACAGGAGGGTGAGGGGAAGGGGCGCGTACCGATGCGCGCGTAGGTGCCGTGCGGGACGGCGACGCTGAGGTCGGTGGCGACGAGCGCCTTGCCGCGCGCCGGCACCACGGCCTCCACCGCGCTGGAGAGGTCGTAGCCGGCTGCCAGCGCGGAGCCGCGGGAGGGCAGCACGGCGTTGGCCGACAGCTTCTTCACCTTGAGCAACAGCGGCGCCGGCGAGGGGGCCGCCGCCGCCTTGGGCTGTTCCTGGACGGGGTCCGCGGCGGCGGTACCGTTGGTGGCGGCCATCGTCGTCGCTGCGGCGGTGAGGGTTCTTGATGGGAGGAAGAGGAGGCGGCGGGAGATGGGGTCGGGGTGGGGTGCGAGGTGGAGGGGAGCGCGCCTGGTAAATAGGGGTAGCGGGGAGCGGAGGAGGCGGGAACGGGTGGCGCCAACGCCGAGCATTCCCGCCATTGAGTTTGAGCGGAGGAGACGGGAACGGGTGACCGACTTTGGGCATCTTCAAGATCCCTCAAACCGCCCCTAGGACTTGTCTGGATGCGCGACGCAAACCGGACGCAAACAGAGGGAGGGCTTTGCAGAAGTTTAGACCGCCGTCACGTATAACTCCGACGACAACAACGCTTTTGCTGCAACCACGGACGGTGATGGCCTTGACCGTCTCTGGTGAATGTCGGGAGAGTCCATGGTGTCACGAGGCAGAAGGAGCGCATGACACGGTGTTGCGAATCTGTGATGTCGGAGTTTCAACCGGCAATGCCGGGGTGCGGGGGAAGGGGGTATGATGTTGCAACCCATCGCCGGAGATGTGGGGGAAGGCCGGTCATGAGCTACATTGGTGCATACAGGACGTTGCGGCCCATCGTCGGAGATGCTGCAACTGTGTATGCTAGGACCTACAACCGCATACGCTGGGGAGTTGCAACCAGCGACATCGAAGCTGCTAGATGCTACAAGAGATGATACTACGAAGGGCATGAGATGGGGGTGACGTGACATGCCGAAGCTAAGGACCACCGCGTGGCATACAATGAACGCGGCAAAGCTACAACCTACACAGCAGCAAGTTGGAATTGCGTGCCAGGCGATGCTGCGACGGGGAAGATGGGGATGGTGGCACCATTTTGGCGATGCTAGAACCGACAGTCGGGCACGCTAGGACCGGGCCCCCGCGATGCCGAAACCAACCGTCGGCTATGCTATGACCACGAGACAACATTTGTTGCGACCGAATGAATCGTCCATGGCAATGTGTCAATATGCGGCGGCGGCGCTTTTGCAGCCATGGAGAACGAACGTCATGACAATTCATGGTGTCGTGAGGCCGTGGACGGTGAATTGTGGTGTTGTGAATCTGTGATGTAGGAGTTGCAACCGACAATGTCGGGGGTTGCCATGAGGCCAACCATGAACTGCATTGGCGCATACAGGATGCCGCGACCCGTCGTCGGAAATGCTACAACCGTGTACGTCGGGATCTACAACCGAGTAGGTTGGGGAGCTGCAACCAGTTTCGCCGGAGCTAGAAACAAAGTTGTAAGTTTGTACAGCTATGGTAGGGCTGCATACCTGGATGGTCCATTAGGAGAGTGGTTCATTCAAGCGTTGAGCGTGCCAAAAGTAGCATCGACTCAATTCAAAGATGATGCTTGCACGTGTCAGCACGATGAAAGAATCATTTTCAATTGATGGGCGGTAAGATAGTCGAGGGAACTAGTGACAGTTGTAAAAAGTAGAAACAGGAAGGTGAAAAAAAGGAAAAAGATCGCGCCAGGTAGGGGTCGAACCTACGACCTTCCGCTTAGGAAACGGACGCTCTATCCACTGAGCTACAGGCGCTTATTTGCTCTAAGGGATGGTGCAAATGTGGTTACTCAGTTAGTCGGACCCGTTGTGCATTTTTATGAAGTAACCAGTGAACATTGTAACAGCTATAACGATTTTTTTCCCGTGATATAAAATTTTCGTTTATTTATCTACACGTACACCCGACTGGAAGCATGCTTCTTACGTGACCGCTAACCACCGGCCAAATCAGACTGTCAGGCTTAGCCACCGTTTAACTAAAAAAGAGTTCAGTTGGAGTGCAAATCGAAACAGGAGCAGTAAGCTTGATACAAAGCGGCCAATCTTTTCAAGACATTCCCTGTCAGTCTGATACATTCAGGCTATGTTCGGTTAAACCACTCCTGGAGAGGATTGGGGAGGTTTGGACGGGATTGACGTGGATTTTAGCTTATTGGGGAATGAATCCTTCCCAATCCTCTTCAAAACTCATGCAACCGAACAAGCCCTCAGGGAGATGCTTAATCAGAACAAATACAATGGGTTCAAGTCAAAGCGGATGTTGAGTTGATCTTGCCCAAAGAAGTGTCTGATTCTGTTGTTATGTGCCCGGCGAAGCAAACCGCATGGTCGACCGCGGCCCGGCGGATGTATTTTTACTCACCAGGGGAGAAGATTGTGACACCAATATCGTTTGGTCAAAGAGCCGCTGCTTGCAAGTCATCGATGTTTCGGACTCTTGGATGAAATGATGAAATAGGATGTTCGAGTCTGTGCGACATCATTCCCCGGCTCGTCGTGCGGTGTTTGAGCTGGAGGGTATTCCACGTCCAGCAAATCTATTCGGAACAAGAAAAAAACATTGGCAACTTTTCAAGTTTCTTGCGGAAATGATCGTATTTTAAATTGACTGATTTGCTGGCGCAAGCTCGAAATAGCAAATCCTTACCGTGATGTTTTGTTTTTCTCCAATATCTTAGGGTTTACTATGGGGTGAAACTAGTACAGAAGAAGACATATTTAAACTTGTAACAATGGACGTTTGACATCCTTATGCGTGAGGTAGGTGAGTATATATAGCGTAGGACTATGTATAGTAGTATTTGTCAGCTAAGCACACAAATAGTGTTGAGCAAGTCACCCAAGAGGCCAAGAACCGTTTCCTTGCTTTATCACGCGGGTCAGCGCTGCAAAAATGATGTGACTGTCCTACTACCTATTTTTCGTTTCATCTTGCAAAATAAAACAAGATGAAATGGTGAAAACTTCATGAGTTGATTAATTGAAATGTCATCCGCATGAAGAATGGTGAGGATTTCTAAGATTTCAACTTATCCACTAGATATTGATTCCTTATCTGTGTTATAAGTCCTGATCATTGCCAACAGTCTTCATTGCCATTTCGCAAAAATAAAAATAAAATCTTCACTGCCAATCCCTGATCAACTCATGGAGAAATTTGTATTCCTAGAAGTGGCGGCTCTTAAGCTTGTGTGGCCGAAGAGAAAGGGAAATAGAGAAAGGCTGTTGAGATTCTGTGTGGAGTTAGGGCAACTCTAACCGATCCTCTAAAAATAGAGGAGTAAACCGGCGGAGTAAACCTTAGTGGAGTAAATTTACCCGTTTCTAGCCGACCCCCCAAACTTAGTGGATTAAAAAAATTTGCCATTTGCATCACATATTCAACCACCGAAACACATTTCCTTACTTTTTATGTCTTCATTGTTGATCTGCGGATTCTTGAGCTTCAACACTTCTTTCTTCTTCGATTTTGAAGAAATAGACGTTGCTTCTTTAGTAATCTCATCTCTAATCTCCTCTCTAGTCTCATCTCTAGCCTCAATTCTAGCAACGAGTGCACGAACGATGCTGGTGGATCAATGTATTTTTCTTTCTAATACCAAAACTTGCATCCATCCTACACACATAGATGAGCAAACAAGCACATAGATGAGCTACCGAAATTGCGTCGAATCCGGTGAACCACCGATTCAAAACAAGCACATACCCCAACATTTGTGCACTTGAAGAACACCCATCCAGAGTGTTGCAGCGTGGAAGAAACTCGGTAGGGTTCAGGTTGGGGTCAAACCTACGACCTTCTGCTTAGGAAACAGATGCTCTATCCACTGAGCTACAGGTGCTCCTATGCCTAAGAGCATCTCCAACAGACGTGCGCAGGCGCTGCGCGCTAATTCTTTTTACAACGTGCACAACTACTGTTTTTGCGCCCGAGTAGACAGTTGCTTCACCAGGCGCTGCAAATTTTAGCACGCCGCTGTAGCGCTTTAGCAGGCGCACTAAAATACAACGCGCTGTTTGAAAGATACACATAGTATATTTCAACCAACATAGACATAGTCATATTTCAACCAACATAAACATAGTCATATTTCAAACAACATAGCATATTTCAACCCGCATAGTTCATAGCATAGGTAGTAAAAAAAACGATACAAAAGCCCGCGGCTAACTACTCATCGTCCTCCTCCTCCTCCTCCGACTCGGTGGTGTCCTCCTCCGACTCCGACGTCGAAATGAAGGCGTCAATTCACCGTTCATCGTTGGGGTCCCAAGTCGACGCCTTCCTCGTACGCCTGTCCTCACGATAGGCGGCTCACACCGCCCTCCTCTACGCATAGAATTCACGCTCGTTGACGACGTCCTTCGGGAAGCGTTGGCGCCATACCGCCATGGCCTCCTCGTCCATCTCAGTGATGCCGACACGGCGCTCCCGTCTCCGGTTGTCGTGACGGTCCTCGTCGGTGACAAGCCGCGGGGGAGGCGCGAGCTCCTCTGTCCGCTCCCGCGTCGCCACCTCGGGGAAGTTCATCTCCCTATGAGGCCGTCGGAAGGGCCACGCCACTGCGTCATACATGACGGCGGCCTCATGGGCGGTGTCGAATGAGCCAAGGCCGAGACGCATCTCACCGGACCGGATCTCGGCGGAGAAGGAGCCGGAGGGGCGCGCGCGGACGCCGCGGTAGCCCGAACTTCCCCGGCGGCGTGGTCACATGGTGGCGCGGCAGCTGCGAGGCAAGAAAGGAGGCGAGAAAGAGCGGCGAAGAGGGCGCGCACGGACGCCGCGGTAGCCCGAACTTCCCCAACGGCGTGGCAGCATGGTGGCGCGGCGGCTGCGAGGCGAGAAAGAACGGCGGAGAGGGCGCGTGGCGAGGCAGAGCGGTGGAGAGGACGTGTGGAGGCGCGCTGAATTTATTGCACACCCCCGCTTTTCCCGTGCGCCCTTTTTTTGCGCGCCACTTTTTCCCGCGCCCATTCGGTAAAAGCCCATTTTTTCGCGCGCGCGCGCTTTATTTGGCACGTCTGTTGGAGATGCTCTAATGAATGGTGAAAAATTGTTTATACAATGAGATTATATTTGTGCTTATACAATGAGATTATGTTTGTGCGTTCTTTTGATTGCTTGGAGGTGCTTACCAGATACGCCATGTTGGTTTCTTTGTGCATCTCTAGTTAAATAATTAATGAACTTGATAGTTATAACAATTTTTTTCTGTGATATAGCATTTTCGTTTATTTATCAGCATATACACCGGACTGAAAACCCGCTTCTTAGGTGACAGTTGGAGTAGTTTATTTATCTGCATATGCACCGCTGTTTAACTAAAATATACTCCATCCATCTCAAAATTCTTGTCTTAAATTTG